TGAAACTGAAACCCATCTGAGCAGCTTCACACACAATTAGGGACTTCCATGTCAGAACAACCAGGCAGGATTTCTGTATTTATTACTTTGGCATCACAATTAATATTTAATCCAGAGGAGATATCACAGACATGTTTGAAGCCTCATTTTGCTTGTTAAAACATACTTTGAAACCAAGAAGATGAGCAAATTATGTCATTATGGAGCCCTATTATTTATTATCTTTAGATAGTTTAATTTAAAGCAAATGCTCCCATAAGGGGGAGATTCCTTCCACTGCTCCTCTTCTAAGTGATTTTCTAGTCTTCATTGCATTTATTAGTGTTCATGGCTGAAAACAAAGAGATGCCAGAATGTGCTTTACTGCCAGAAGACAAGAGTGAATAAATGCCTCCTCCTTGCTGTGTGGCCAGGTCTTGGTTCAGCCGTGCAGTGGCACCAGTCTGAGGGGCAGAGGTGGCTTTCTTTGACTCAGCTGGAGATGTCAGCATGCCAGGAGCAAGCAGTGACCACTCTGGGGCAAACAGAAAACCCCTTCAGGTTCTCACCATGAAACAGGCCTGTCCATATTTCTTTTTTGACTGGAAGACCTTCTCACTAATTGTCTTTACAGCATCTAACCCAGTACAAGTGTGTAATTCACTGCTTGAGTCTGCTCATTGATTAAACTGTGCGATCAATTTTGGTTTGACACTTATTTATGGGCAACTCCCTGTAGAAATTAGAAACATGTTGGACACAAATCTACTTGAATTTTGTTCATGGGATCACACCCCTGGCTGGCTGGAGGCATTGGAAACTGTTCTGCTATTATTCTTGATGAGAAGGTGATATTTCTCTGTCTGTGCAAATATCCTGCAATATGAGCTTAAAATATAAAATATAACCCTCCTGGTTTTTCAGGTGAAACAGTAAATGAACTGCAAGGGCTGTCCCTGAAAAGCACAGCCACAGGCATGATGCTCCCTGGCTCTGCTGGATCCCTGTTCCCATGGGCTTCATCCCCAAGTGATGGGACAGGAGGCTTTCTGGAGGGGCGAGCAGTTGCCAGAGGATACCCCTCTGGGATGCCCACCCCAGGCCTGGCACTGAGCCCTGTTGCTGGAGATACCAATTTCGCTAAGTATATCTAGTTTTTGTTATTAAGCAGCCCCTACTGCCCTTGCCTGCAGACAACCATCACCAGAGGCCGCACCAGAGGCACCTCCTGCCTCTGCCCCTTGCTGCAAACATCTCTGCAAGGCTGGAGTTGGCTCTGGCTGCATGGGCACATGGCACAGCCTGCACTGCACTGCGCTGCCAGACACCAAACTGCCCAGCAGGTCTGGAAAAAGGCAGAAGAGGAAGAAAGGAGCGAAGAGAGAGAATAACCCCAAGAGAAGTTTCTTAATTCTGTTCTTTAGAGCCCAGATTTGAGGTCTTTTCTCAGACAAACTCCCTGGGCACGTAGGATGTGACTTACTATGCCTTTTGGTAAGTGTAAAAGGCTGATATGTGTACCGGGGCTGAGGGTTAGTGAGTTTGGGTATGGCTTTCCACGGCAATGATGCCACTGTGCATCACGGCTTCTGCTCAGAGGCTGCCCAGCACCAGAGCAAGAACCAGGATGTCTGAGCAGCTAGAGCATTGTAACCCTTCCGTTAGTGGGTCCCAACTGACAGCTTTGCAGTTCCTGTGGGATACCTGACCTTTCACCACTAATATAAAAGGACAGCAAAGTGGCAGTGCCTGAAGCTCTGTGTTTTCCATGTCTGCACCGATAAAACCTGTTTGTGGTCTGGGCTGTCCAGCACAGCCGCTGCGTACGTGCATGCCTGCATGCCCTGGTGTGCACACTCCAATGGCAGGTGGGAGCAGCCCGGGGTCGCCAGTTCCCCAGCTAGTGCTGGAGCTGGCCTTGGATGCCTAACTGTGCTTTACTGCCTGCTCACACCCTATTTTCACCTTTTTCCCAAGGGTGGCCCCAGCATGCAGGAATGGGTCTCTCTGCTGGCTGCTGCTGCTGGCCGTGTTGACTAGTCACCAAAGCCAAGGTGTTCAGCTGGTTCAAGAGGGGCTGGATGGCCGTGGGGGATACACCCTCCTCAGCTGTGGGTTTCAGTCCTCTGGTGCCCACAGCCTTTCCTTCCCACCTGCCACCAGCCCCATGGATGGCAGCTGTGGTACAGCCTGAGTGCCTTGTGCCCCTGCTCAGGGCTCTGCATGGCCTTCTATGAGAGCACCTTCAACGTGCCAGCGCAGAGCATCGAAGTGGATGGCAATGCTGACTACGGCATCTTCCAGCTCAGCAGCCAGCTGTGGTATACCAACAACTGCAGCCTCTTGGATAACCACTGCCGGATGGCTTGCAGGGGCACCGTGGCACAGGAGAGGAGGCAGCAGCCTGAACCGTCTTGCTCTGCTTAACTTCACCCCATGGCCAAAATGGAGCTACAGGGACATGCGGGGCACAGCCTGGGGAACAAGATGCCTGAGACTGCAGGAAGCTGGGGATGGCCAGGTCCAGCTCCCCTTTTGGTCTGTGCAGGGTGTGGACAGCCCCACTGACTCCTGCAGCTGGGGAGTGAGAGGCCGTGGCCATTGCTGGAGGCATTTCTCACAGTCACTGCAGCATTGCTGCCACAGACTTTCTCCACAGTTTCACCTTGCACCTCTGGGCCAGTTCCTTTCCCTCGCACCTCCATCCTTTCCTCTCCTAGGATGCTAGGGACCCCAGGGTGCTCTGGGTGTTGTGACTGTGGGTGAAAGACAGGCAGTACTGACTTGGGTGAGTTGCCACACCAAAAAGGAGGAACCACAACTTGAAGACACTGCAGATGGGAGGGAATGGAAAGACAAACTTGCACTACTTCAGTCTCTGCAAAGCATCTCACAGGAGAAACTGGAGATGAAGGAGCAGAGAAAAACTTTTCAGAAAAAAGCCTCATGTGAAAAACTGATATGTCAGTAAACAGCCCATCAGCTAATAGGTTAGTCCTTGAAGGTTTCTCTCTGTCTTCTGTTTTCAAAGTCCTTCAAAGAGTTCCTTCTTCCATTTTTTGCTGTCCCTTATCTTAGCTGGAAGCACCTAGCATGGAAGCAATTCTTCCCAGAGCATTTGAGAGCATTAATCACTGAAATATACTCATTAATCTAGATGACAGCCCTTGCTTAGCACAGCCTTGAACCATTCCTGGGACTCAGGCTGCTGTGACATGGGAAGCCTGTAAAGGCAGAGTAACCACCAGGCTGAGAAAACAGACATGGGGTAGAAGACAGCTCCAACCATCATATAACTATATGGTTGTCTGAAGTCCCAAGGCATTTTGTGCAAAAACAGTGAAGTTAACCACTGAATCCTGAATAAGTTCCAAGTTGAGGGACAAGATTGTGCCTTCAGATCCCCCCTGCCCCCTCCCCACCACGGCAGGACCCATTAACCAGCTTTGCTTCCTGTGGTGGGCTGCTGTGAGACCTGGCTCACCACAAAGCAGCAGCATTTCTGAGCAAGGATGAGGTAAGTGATTTGTGCGGCATACGCAGCAAATGGGCTCAGGGCCCCTGTGGTCAGCATCGCTGTGGCAGGGTCTGCTGCGCACTCAGCTGTGCTCAGCTGCCACGTTCCAGCAAAAGAGGGACACTTGCGGTGGCAGGAGGTGGCAGGATGTGCCATTGCAATCTGTGGTTTCTGGCCAAGACTTCCTAGAGAGAGCTCAGGTGGCATCATCACTCCTTAGTGCAAGATGCTCAGCCAGAGTTGGAGGGTCTGCAAGTTCATCTCCAGGGCTAGAGATGGGAGGTCCGCTATTGGAAAGGACCCTGCAGAAAACAAAACCTGCTTGCATTGGATATGAATGGCATCAGTCTAGTACCTAAATAGTGTCTCTTTGCTTCTCCTGTCCTCAGAGTGGGCTGGGCAATGCACTGCACAGGACAAGACCTGTCTGAGTGGGTGGAAGGATGTGAGAAAGTCCCCAGCTCATCTGCACTGTGGCTGATGAGCACTGCTTCTCCTGTCTTACAAGGGCAGAGCTTCCTCCTTGCTGCCCAACACTTCTCAGCATTTGCAAACCCACTTCATTCCACAAGGTATAAAATAACTTAAACAATATAGCATGGTTGGGTTTTTTAAAATAATAAATTTGATTTTCCATTTTCACATGTGATTTAGGGTGCAGACCCAAACGATTTTCCCCAGGTTTTGGGTTTTTTTTTGCACAAATTTGGGTGAACCTGCAACTGGAAAGCAAATGGCGCAGAGGGTGAGAGTCAGAAGCTGGGTAGATAGCTGTCTCTGTTTAAGAGTCAGAGAGAGAGAGAGAGCAGGATTTTCTCTCTATTGCCCCTACCCCTTCCAGGGGGAGGATTAAGAGAAGGGAATAGAGAGAAAATAATAAATTAAAAAAAAATTGCTCCACACAAGGTTGGAAGTTAAGACTGTAACAAGTTTAATGAAAACAGCAGGGGAAAGGAAAAGGGAATTAATAAGGGACAAAGTATAATTATATACAAAACCCGATCCCAGTAGTCCCGAGTGGAAATGTCCAAGCAGTGCCTCATGGCCGCTGCGACTGCTGTGACTCATCACCAGGGACCGCAGTGGTGCCGGGAGCGGGTGGTGGTGGATGCTGTCGAGCACGTGGAGCTAGGCCCAGCCGTCCCGAGAAGCGACAGGAAGCAGCCCAGGAAAGCCAGGAAAAGCCCACGAAAACCTCGGTTTTTTATAGACTGTGGCCGGAAAGGGGAGGGAACAGTACTGATCTCTGACCCTCCAGGGTCCTACAGACACCACCTGTCCTTCCCTTTCAGGCTGGTAACCCTTAAACCATAACAATACCAATACCTTTGGACACAGATAATTCCTCAGGAGTTTTCAAAGAAAGTGAAAAAGCAAAACCTCAAAAAAGGGTGCAAACCTGCAAGCTCTCCAGCACCTCTTATTCATATATTTGTAATAAAAATGCAACAAAACACAACTTAGGATCTTATTAGGTAAAACCTGTATTTGCTAAGCAGCATAGGCTATCCCTGAGGGAAGGCAAAGTGCTGCACAGCCCTTCCCCAGCTGCTGGGGCAGAGGAGGTGAGCGAGGTCTCCTGTCCACAGTGCAGCTCCTGCCGTAACCAGTAACCAGCCAGTCCTGGGGCTGGGTTTCTACAGCAACTCCCAGCTGTGCACAGAGGAAGGTGATGTCTGGTGCAGCAACGGCTGTGGCTCACAGCTGGCAGGGTCTGATGCAGGGATGGAGAGGGTTAAGGAGAAACAGTGGTGGTGGTTGTGGTGGCTGTCACCGCAGATGAGCATCGTCTCTGTCTGTTTTTCTTTTTGAAGGCTTGGAAAAGTACAAAAATACAATGTGGAATTTTTGTATTATCTTGTGGTGGCTGCTCTTGTGCTTAAAAGAAGAAAAAATACCAGAGCAACCTATTTGTTGTCAGTAGATGGGGTCTGAATCAAAACCCTATCTTCTAACAGCAAAATCTGTGGCCCACTTGACGTGCGGATACAAAGCAGACCCCACAATCTGTAAGACTGTAAAGTAGGTATGTTTATTCACCGGTGGGCAGCAAGGTAGATCTTTCTTAAAACCTTGTGCTCCAAGTGCCGCCGCTCGCCGAGGTTATATGCGGTAAAATGTTACATATACATAAGATTTCCCAATACGCCTATACATATGCATGACTTATCCCCGATTCATATTAAGATTAGGTCCAGGAAGTCATTTCCATAAACTCCTCCTAACTGCGCTTGCGCAGTACCTTCTGGTGGTTATGGTGGAGAGCCTTTTTTCGTGACCGCTAGTAACCCTTGCTTGTGTGCAGACTCAGTTGTTCTCTGGTTCTTGCTCAATCCGGGGGGTTGGGTTTAGCCGGTTCTTGAGACCACTCTCTGGTTCTTATCAGTAACTCAAGACTTCTTGCTCCACCCAGTCCACACAATTAGCAGCACATTTAGTAAGTGATAAGTAATACAATGTTTCCCAAGATTTCTTTAATCCCTTTTTCACACTCCCAGCAGAGCGCTGAGAATGCAGGACAGCTGCCTTGCATAAGGTGTGATCCATAGCCCATCTCTCCCTCCCCTTTCACTTGAGGCAAAAATTTAATTGTTCAGCTTCACTTTTACTTGGAAACTGAGTAAGAAACTAAGTTTCAATCATATCTATCTGAAATCCCAAGAAAGGTAGAGAATATGTTTTCCTTCTTTTCTTGATGAAAGCACATTTTCCGTTTATTTCTAGGAGGTAGTGTTTGCAGCGGAAATTTGACAATCCTTATGAAAAAATAGTATCCCCAACCTGCAGCCCCCCTGGTGACAGGAGGACTGCAGGTAATCTGGCAGGCTGTCATGTCTGAGCACTGAAACTGCTTGAGGGCTGTGGCAGCACACATGGAAAACACGGATCATGACATCATCTATAGGCACATTTTAGAGGAGCAAGATACCTCCTACCAAGATAGAAACAAATTAAATATAGGGCCTGATCCTGTTTCCCTATAATTTGAAGGAAGTTTTACCCCTGATTTTAACAGCAAACAACACTGACTTTGTAAAATGTGTCATCAAACAGCTCCAGAGTGCTTTAGAGTATTTCAACACTTCCATTATACGCCCCATCTTTCAAACTTGGACATAAATATTCACTTGGCAGAAACCTCAGCCTACAAGCAAATTAGGGGATTTGTTTTTAACATTTTTTTCCACTCTCAAAGGAAAATAAGAGAGAGAGAGAAAGAGCTTTTCTTGGATGTTTTTAAGTTGCTGCTGCTATGTAATAATATTTACTGGTTTTGCACTACCCTATCTTAAAAAATGAATTCGCTCATTCTCAAAGAAAAGAATGTAAAATAAAGTAATTATGTTGCAGTCACTATTTTCAGCTGCACGGGAGGTAAGTGATACCAGGGGATCAGTCAGCAGCCAGAAAGTCACTGCAAGAACAGGGACGGTAACTTGGCCAATGTGTAGATCGTGAGCCATGGGAGCTTGCAAGTCACCACACCATGGCTCACAGCACTGGGAGCAGGGCTGTGTGCTACCAGAGCTTCTGGGGATCCACCTGTGTGCACAGGGCTGCTGGAGTCAGTGTTACGTACCACCCCAAAACCCATAGGTTTGTCCAGCCAACCATGCCTATAGTGAGGCTGGGGGTTTTGCTGTCATCTTCTGGAAAGTTCTTCGAGACCAAATTATCTGTGTAGCTGCTATAGGGACTTGAAAGTGTTGGTATGAGGTTCATAAGGTCAGAGAGGAGAGCTGGTCCTCTGCCCCGTGATCTCCAGCCCCACACTCTCAACTCAGATGAAGTCAGGGGTGCCAGATCCAGCAGCACTGTGAATGAAAGAGACATCCTTGAGCACCAACACATCCCTGCCAAAGGTACTGCAGCAAACAGTTTCTCTATTTGCTTTGCTACTGGCCAAATG